TTGTTTATGAAAAAGATAATTAAATGGCTTTGTCATGTTTTAATTATGACAGTTTACTCTGTGAATTTCTTCCAATGCATTAAAGTCAGATTTTGGTGACACTTCCTGAAAATGCACTAGACAGCACTAGATACTATTAGCACAGACATTTGAAAACTACAGTAAATTTAGACATCACTGCATTTAGTAAGGTATCTGAGTACAAGACACTGAATGTGTATGTTTCACGTTTTTACTGCATTTGCTCTTTACAATTCTAGTTTATTCACACCATTGTGCAAAAGAATAAATACACCCTTATTTACAACAAACATAAACTTCCTTTTGGTAGAGCAATTACATGAATGATTTGAGAACATTAACTGTTGCATTAACTGCAAATGTAAATAGTGTTGTGAGAAATGCACCAAAGCCACCGAGAAAAAACGTAAATGTGAAATATTTTTATTTTTGTATATATGGTAAGTAAAAAATTTTTTTGTGTGTAATAAACTCATTTGCTCATTGCTTGTTTTCTTTAAAGCCTTTAAATTTAATATTAATACTTAATTTAATTAATGGGACATATAAATCTAATAAATATAATTCAATAATTCATACAAAGCAGAAAATGTAATAAATATTACCATATTAATTAGATAAAATTAACATCTGCACTGGACAAAATATTTAGCACAGCCTTGTATGTTTAATTTGAACAAGAAAAAAGATTCATCCTAAAACATGAAATAAATGTTATAGAAAGCAAAAAAAAAAAAAAAAAAAAAAAAACACTTTCCCAAGCATCAACATATTGTAACGACACCAATGTATTATTTTTTTGATTGTATTTCTTGCAAAGTAATGCTTCAATGAATGATCTGCCAGATAGAACCCTATAATTCCAAGTGGAAAATGACTTTTCAGAATTAGAAGGTTCTCTCTGCATTTACTGTTTTTTTAAAAAAAACCAATTTGCAAATGTACGATAACTTTGATAATTTACATTTATAGTACATTTAGGGTCTCTGTCATGTTAATGTATGAAAGAGAACTGTTACACACATATTGTCTGCTATATGGAATGCAAAAACTTTATAGTTCAATATCTCAAAATCATTTAGAACGCAGATAGAACCTTTGAATTCCAAGGTGACAAAATGACTCTGAAATTTGGGTAGACAAAATTACAGACAGAGATATTGGCAGATTGGCAGACAGATGGATGGGTGGATAGATAGGCAGGCGGACGGACGGACGGACGGACGGACAGACAGACAGACAGACAGACAGACAGACAGATAGACAGAAAGATAGATAGATAGATAGATAGATAGATAGATAGATAGATAGATAGATAGATAGATAGATAGATAGATAGATAGATAGATAGATAGATAGATAGATAGATAGATAGATAGATAGATAGATAGGTATGAACAGACAGATATGGCATTTTGCTGATTATTTAACTCCAGGTATTAATAATGAAATTGAGTCATCATAATTAACCCGGTGTGTATTTTGAACAGAGCAATACGTTTCCACTAAACGTTATTAAATCGCGTGGAGTGACGAGCTTTTTATTTGTGCTGTCAGAGCATCTGACAGCCTCGTTAGCTCCCATTTCGCCCTGTCGGCTCACAGTCTGCCACAGACACTGAGTCTCCTCTCTCCGTTTACCGTGTTAGCGCTGCCAGCACGGCGCATCACGATCAATCACAGTCGCTGCGTCACTGGCAGCTGTCAATCATTTCATCACGCATTGATGGGTTAGTTTTCCATCAAATTACATTTACAAAGAACGGATAGATGTCCAAAATACCAGCTTGGACACCTGTGCGAATTTGGGAATTAATATTAACTTCTGAACCATAACTGTTGCTTTATTTGTTGCAAATGCCAATTGGTTGGCAATCTTTATATAATCAAGTTCATATACATTCCAAATACTATTATACATCAAATTTGCCTATAAAAATAACTGTTTATCATCATGGGTTTGTATGACATATAGATGAGCTTTGGGCGTATACTGTATAATTGAAGCTCGCCGCTGAATCTTCATTCTAGCTGTGCTTTTCAGATTGTGGGTCGGATACTCAGGCTTGTCACATTGAGGTAAAGTGAGTTTCTAACATCCAGGGCTTTGCTGTCTGCGCCGGACAAATTGATTGCGATCAGCCCGAGGGAGTTCTGCTAATGTCTCTCTCCGGGGCCGGGGGTGCATGGGCTGCTTAAATCAAAGATGAGATTCACACATATTGCGGAGAAACAGAAACACACATAATGCACATTATAAAGTCATCGGCATCTGAAAGAAAACTGTGACGACAAAGACTAGAGAGTTAAGTAGATCAATCAATTAAAAATTCAGCTTCAAGAAGAAAGGAACTACAAAGAGCGTAGTTTTCCCATCCTTCCTGCATTGTATGCATACCAAAAGAAATGAGAAAATAAACTGAAAAGTGCAATGTATAAATAAGCTGTCAGCCTGCATGGTCAGGACGTTCAGCGCAGCCGCGCAGGCAATAGTAAACAAAGATCTGCGACATGCTCATGTGATTTTTCTGCGTGGATAGCTGAGAGTAAAGGGCAATCATTAAAGAAGTTATTCCAGTAGAAAGAGAAAACGTGTTCCTTGAACAGCAAGAGAAATGCACATTGCTCTTTTAATTATCTTTTTGGTTATTTTTTGAACCCTGAAAAGACAGAAAAAACTTTATAGGCAGGGGCGGATTTAACCAATAAGCAAGGTAAGCAGCCGCTTAGGGCCCCAGGACATCTGAGGGCCCCCAATAAATATCTAAAAGTTTAAAATATCGATATAACTATATATATAAAACATAATTTCTATCATATTATGTATAGTGAGAGTCAAAGAAATATGTTTTGCGTAATTAAATATTTAATATACAACAAAATAAAAGATAATTATAAAAACGTAATGTTGTGTAAAAATAATTATGAAAATAAATAATCCACCACCCTCAATCATGGAGCAGTCCAGAGGTCAAATTTATAAAAAGTATATATACATCATTATTTGTAAATTAATTTTAAGACATCAAGTTATTTAAAATATAAAGCCTACAGTAAGATAAAACGTAAAAGGGAAGATTGAGTGATATAAATAAATAAATAAAAATTAAAAGTAGAAAATGTGCATTTCAGGACTTGGGGCACGATGGCTGGAGTTGTTTAGGGCCTAAAAATCGCTAAATTCGCCCCTGTTTTAGGTTATAGTTAATCCAAACAAAATCTAGTCATTTTTAAATGATAAAAACAGGAAAACTGTAGAACCACTGACTAAAAAATAAACTAACAAAAAATGAATTACGTTGCAAGGAAAAGGAATACCCTTTTCATGTGATGATCATTTTGAGTGATTAAAATACAAAAACGGCTTAATAAACAACATGGAAAGAAAAACAAGTTACATAAATTTCGGAATTTGACAGATCTCAAGATTTATAACTATTTACTTTCATTAGGAAAGCATTTCTGATTCAGTCATGATGTTCAAAACATCATTTAGCTTTTTCAATTAAGTTTAAATGACGCTTAAACTTAATGGCTGAGTTTGTCTATATTTGTCAATATCCAAACGCTAAAGTTACTGCTAAAAATAATAACCACAAGCATCGCACATTAAACTCGAATTTTTAACACCACCTGCACTTATTGTTACACATAAGTATGTGTGTGTGTGAGGGGGAGAGAGACAGATAGAGAGGGGGAGAGAGGGAGAGAGAGAGAGAGAGAGAGAGGATGCTGAGAGGCCGGCTGAACAGATTTCCCTTCACGCCTGGTCGGGTTCTTGAGAGCGGGGCGTCGTGGATCAGGGAACGGAGGCACCTGGTCCGAGCGCCGCGCAGCGTCTTCTTTTATTGACCGCATGATAAGCCGTGCGGTTTCCAGCGATCACCTGGAGAACCCTGCAGCGTTGCACGGTTTCTGTAGCTCTTAATTGTGGTTACGTCAAACAAAGGGCTGAATGATGCTTGTGCGTCCCATACCTGCTCTATATGTCCTAAAGAACCAACACAACCCATTCATTTCCTGAGAGACACACTGCAGAGCTGTTGCGCATTTACGCACCGTGGACACTGATACGTCATTTGAAGTAAAAATTATGTAGCTTCACCTTTACTCCACATCCTGTGAGCTCCAGTTTCTCTTTTTTTTTGTTTAGGTTTCATAAATATACATTAATGCGCATCAGATTTATGAAGAGCACATTAAAAACTCGCACAGTCAGCTATGGTGGAAACAAACAGTATCGCTAAACGCGCTGTTGTACCGGTTAACCATTTGATTTTCCACCTGAATGAGGAGGGTAAATAAGATCTCCGTGACGCCTTGGCTAATATTTGCTTAACAGACGGTTAGCAACCTGGAATCAAAAAGATAGGCTAAAGAATATAGCATCTGACATCTTGACGTTTCAAATAAGAAAATTGCATTATAAAAAAATAACATGCAAGGTGTTGGAAATGCCTTTAAAAATAGGCTTTCTGAAATTCCTTAAATATATAAGCTAGCCTAGCAAAGAAAACTATTTTCAATTTTCCTTGTGCTCATAAGTGAACACACACAACGAAATGGGAAAAACAGAAGTCTAATTAACTTATTCCCTAATTGGATGTATTCAGATTTGCCTTTGTTTTTTAATAGAGGCATTTGAAATACTTAATAATCCGGCTTATTTTATAATTATTAATGACAATATTATATTGTTCCATTATTACTTTTTTATCACAGCAGTACATTTCTGTCATTAGATATCAAAGAAAATATTTAAAATACACAGAAGCAGAACACTTCCAAATTCGTCTTAGAAATATAGGGCAAAAGTCTTGACAGGTCTTGAAAATCAATGTTAATGTGAGCGCACGGAGTTCCCCTGATGTGTTGCATGCTTGGCTGTATGAGAACTATTTTCCAGCGTGACGTGGCACGTCATTTGACCAATCGGTGGAGGGCTGAGGCTGATATTAAGAGAAAGTTTACAGTCAGTGAGGGTTACACCGTTTTTTTTTCATTCTCGCTGACATTTCCACACCGTACGGGATTCAAACGTGACACAATCTGGACTCATGAGATCGTTTTAATTAATTCCAGCGCAAGGGCTTGAAACAGCAGGATATTGATCAGAAGTCGGAAATATTCCGGTAAGTTAATATCAAATTTAGGCTACTGCATTTTATCCCGTTCGGTTTTTATTCAATAGAAAAATGTATTTAAATAACTACACATTTCAAACAGCCGTGACTATTTACTTCTTATATTCATTCATGTTTTATCAGGAAAGATTTCACAAAACTGGAACTGTAGCCTACATCACAAACCAATTATATGTGCTGTACATTATCTAAATATTTTAAAAATATTTAGATAGAGCATTGATTTCTAATTAAGACTATGTTTTTTTATGTTGATCCAATCAATCAAATGTAATATTTGTATTATACGTAAGCCACAACTTTAAAAAGTATATATTTATTTATTATTCGTATGACAATTTATAAACAATTGGACAAAGTGAATTTGGAAGGATTTGTTTGAGCACATTTTTATAATATGAGATAATTTATTTAATTTCATTACAGTAGATATAGCCAACATCATCGCAGAATTATTTTGATCAGATTAAAATGCATTTAGCCTTAAAAGCATTTAGTAGCAATTCACAAATTAAAAACAAATTATATTACAATTTCGTAAGTGAAAGAACAAATATGCCAAAATTATTTAGCAATTGTGATACAGCAGCTAATTAAGTTACTAAACATATTTAACAACAACAACAACAACAACAACAACATGTTATGGAAGGCGCTTTACTGTTATAATTGCATGTTGAACTGCTAAACAATTTTTGTACTCATTGCGCAACGTATAAATTAAACAGAAATAAATAACATAGAATATATAGGATATAGCATATATATATATAGATATATATATATATATATATATATATATATATATATATATATATATATATATATATATATATATATATATATGTGTGTGTGTGTGTGTGTGTGTGTGTGTGTGTGCGTGTGTGTGTGTGTAAAACATTTGCTGGATAAGTTGGCGGTTCATTCCACTGTGGCGACCCCTGATTAATAAAGGGACTAAGCCAAAGGAAAATAAATGAATGAAATAACATATATAAAAAGATTTTATTAGTAAACTGTCGGCAAAACTGTGGCCATATCGAGCAATAAAGCAATATTTTAGCGCGTTATTGGTTTATTTATCGATTCATTCTTTTGTTCATATTCTTAATGTGACGTCAGGCCCATTCCCTCCCCTCGTTCTCCTTTTTCTAAAAAAAAAAAAAGTTTTCAGGAAGACACAGTGGCTACTTTGCCCGAGAGCGAAACAGCTACGAGATTAGGGATTACTTTTCACGACTTCGTATTAGCAGTTACTAATCCCAATTGGGCTAATTGCTTTGCGTGTAAAATTGCTGTCTGCAGGGTTCGTGTGATGTGAAGGGGTTTGTATGGCCTGAAGGGCGATGATGCCCCCTGAATTAGACCACATCCTAAATACACCTCATTAACAAGGAGAGGATTTACAAGTTATCTAAAGGAGAAATCAACAGCATGGGCAGAATTACAAAGCTCGGGGCATTATTTGTGGAACAATAAAACTGGGTTAGTATGCAGTGTATTTGCAGGCTTTTAACAATTCAAAATCATGAGTACATTTAAAAATGGATTAATTTTATTGTACATTCCTGGATCATTAGATGCAAATACTTAAATAGATAGGAGAGATATTTGCTGATGGATTTGAGGAAGTAGTTTTGTCTCTTTTTGTTAGCCTGGATGAAATGATTTTCAAATGTAGCTACTCATTAATCTTTTTATTTATTTATTTATTTACAACATTCTAAATTTTACAACATACATACGACGGATTTTTGTATCCCTTCAGTTTGAACAGCTCTCGCACAAACAGCTGCTGCAGAGTCTCGTGCTACGACTTATTCTACAGTCGAACACGGGCGCAGAGGGGCTGCTTTCGGGTGTACCGATGTGTGCATAAACGCCTGGGCAACAAATGCTGATGGGATTCATATTGCGTTTATAGTTCGATGCACATAATGTATGCATGTATGTATGGTATTTACATTATAATTTTAATTGCCTAGATTTTAGTTTATTAATTATTAAGTGTCTTTAAAAATATATTTAAGAAACAAAAAGACAAAAAGTTCTGTCAGATAAAATTATATATCTTAGGCCTTCATAATCATATAAAAATATAATTTACTTATGTACTGTATAAACCAGCAGTCAAAAACTTGTAGCAGAGAAATAGAGTAATAAAACAAAGTTAGAAACACTATAACAGTATAAAAACCCTATAACGCTTCTTTTTGCCATCAATGATTTTATGAAGAATATTTACCATTTGTTTAACATTTATTTCATGAAGAATTTAACATTTTTAACATTTAACATTACATTTCAACCCCCCAAAAATGTAAAAAGTAACATTATAATAAATTATATATATTATCTTGAAAAAAATTGTAAGGTTATTTGAAGGCCCAAAAATTGTACTTTTGGAATCCCCAATTTATTTGTAAGAATGTATAAAACTTATAAGATAAACTTGATTCCCATTAAATAAGACAAATAAATAAATAAACACATAAATAAATAAATAAAAACTATCCACTATACCCTAAGCTACAACAACAAACTCACCTAAGGGACCTGTAAGTTCCACATTACTTTTTTTCGCACTCCAAAATCAAACACCGTTCATCCTCCAAACAGCTTATCCTCGCTAGGCTTGCAAACAGAAGATAGTAAACATATGTCATCGCTATATTTGCGACTCTAAGGAACAAGCTGTAAAATTAGTGAACAGTGAAATTAGGGGGAGGAAAAATCCGGCCACGTGGACACGGAGGTCACCTTCTCCACGCGCAGATGCGGTGCAAAAGCGCGTGAGTGTCAACAAAAGCACGTGGAGAGTGTTTGCATTTGTTTTAGCCAGTTGCACCAGGGACCATTTGTAAGTGCACTTAATGCACAGAGCAAACAGGTTCTCCTTTTGAATTCGCAGCTGTCAACAGGTTGCTTTCTTGTATCAGTGTCATGGAGGGTCAGATCTCTAAGCACTAAAAGCCTCACGCAGCAAACAATGAATATTAACTCAACTCATTTTCTCTCAAAAGCGCTGCAACACTTTGCGATGGTGTCTACTACTCTCAAATTAAGTAGACCTGCTATATTAAAAATAACAATTGCTAAAGCAATTTACTTAATAAAAATAATATCCAAATACAAACTATATTAAAATGTAACCATAATTACACATGAAAAATACTACTACAGTAACTTACAATTACTTACAGCGTTTTTTTTTTAAATATAGTACTTAAATAATCAGTGGTAATTAAAGTTACAATTGTAATACAATCACTCTAGTAATATAAACAATTTACACAATAACTGTATATTATACTACAATACAGCACAGCTTTCTACACTGTAAAAAAATCCTGATAGCCTTAAATGTTTAAGCTGAATCAAATTAACCTCATGAGTCTATTGAACCTATATTATGTTTAACTGTCTTAAAACTGCTTGCATGACTTACAAAATTAAGTTAGAGCATGATTAACAAAGTTGAATAAGTTACAATGAACTAAGAACATACACAGTCATGACTAAATGTTCATATAATTTTTTTCGGAGTATAGACTAATATAGTACTATATTACAACTTATCGGCTTAGTTAATCTACTACAGTTTACTGAAGCATTCATTGATAAAGTGTTGTAAAATCTAAATTGACTGTATAATACACTTTACTATAATATGATAAAAAAAACACTGTAAAAATATTGTTGGCTTATTTGTTTTGTTCATTCGAAATAACTTATATTCAACTTACATCAATCAAAATGATTAAAATATTATGTAAATAGGCCTATCTCATTAACTGAACTTATTAACATGAGTTAAAGCTACATAAAAATATTTTACAGTGTATATTTTTATTTTGTGGGTTTGTTAATTTTTTTTTACTCATGCACTAGGCCTATACATATATTTTCAGGTCAACTAACGTGCACTAAAACGCACCATAAACTGCATTTTCTGATTGAGTTCAATCTCAGTAATGAGACATAAACAGTGCATCGTCCAGCAGAAACAGACTGGAGCAATCCTCCAGCATTGCATAAACTGAGCAATATTGAGTAAGTTTGAGAGGGGGCGCTCGGCATTTGCATGCGCGGAACGATTAGTTGGTTCAAAAGTGGCCTGTTTTCTCTTCTGAGATGGCAGAGGGTCAGTGCTTCTCTAATGGGCCAGTAAAGAGCTGCGACCGGGAACAGACAGACTAAATACATCAGTACTATCACCAATCAGCATAGGTGTGTGTGTGTCTCTCTCTCTCTTTCTCTCCCTGCATGCGCCTTCACTTTCTCACTCTCTCTCGCTCACTCACTTCACATGCGAGCACACACACGCTCAAGTCCCTGAGCAGTCCTGACATCTCCGCTCACTGTCAATCTGTGTCTGCTTCGCAGGGAATTTCCTTCCAGATAAGAGGTACGCTGGGAAAACGTATATATTTTTTGGACGAAGAAACTACCATTGGACAGTCATTGTTTATTTCCAAGTTTCACTGTTTTGCTCGGAAGGGCTCAGGCGGTGGAGCAGAATGCCTCAAAAAGGTGAGTACCGCATGTTAAAACTAAAACTTAGTTCTTATTGTGGGATCCTGAATATTATTAGAGCCAGCCAATGCATTATTAGCTGTTTATTATTGGCGTTGAGATTTATAAAAGCGGTGTTGCTTTAGTCACAGCTACAAAAACGTGCTCGTATTGTTAATAGTTTGTAGGCTAACTCAAGTAAACTATGCAGCCAAATGGACTGTTAGATTGTGCTTTACTTTATTTTTTTCCTGCCAATTATATAAATAAAAAAATCACTGTTTTCGTAGATAGTAAATGTTTATTTGTTAATGGGAAAGAGTTAAAAGTCATTAGGCCTGAACAGTTTTTTTGGAGCACGGGAATGCACTGACCCGTTGAGGAAAGGTGTCAGTTTGATTCATCAGCCGAGTGCCTTCTTAAAGTCTTGCTTGAATATTACGAGGAGATGCTTTTATTATTATTTGCATATGAATATTGATATTTAAGCATTTTACTTCGGCATAAAAAAATATAAAAACAGTGCAGTGTTTTTTTTTAATTAGCGCATTGTCAGTATACTATAAAGCGTGTCATTTTTATCTATAGCCTTAAATAATATTGTATTGTTACTTAAATGAAATTGCGTAAATTATTCTTTGCACCGTAATAATATTTATCTATTTCAATTAAGCGATAGTTATAACAGCCTAACGCAAAACCTTGGGATCACGTTTATTTATTTTTGTTCACCAGGCCTACGTACGCGTTTTACTTTGGCATTAGGACGCTCAAGTCCTCACAAACGTTCACTAAATAAATGTAGCTCCAAAACACAAAAGATTTCCCCATCGATGGCAGTATAAGATGATTAGGGCATGTTAATGTCAGATCCTTCAAAACTTCCCACTGCGCTTTTGTACACATACAGATGCATGTCTGCATGTGAATGATGTTTATAGAGAACACTGTTTCCTGAATAAGCATGTTTAATTAAAGCAATTGTAGTTAGGGATTACACAAACGAAAGAAATGCAGATGAGATCCTAGTTAACCTCATAAACAACAACAACAGGCCATATACTGCGTTAGATAAATCATTAACGGGAACACGCAGAGACTCAATGCATGTACAGCCAGTGCAAATTAAAAGAGCCCAAAACAATTAACATTTTACTGTGATTAGCCGCGATTATATGGTTTAAAAAGGGATTTATGAATTTATCGTAGTTTTTATTTGATGTGACTTTTTATAATTCTTGTTTTATGAAATTTATGAGGGCAAAGTGTATGTTTATTTAATAGTTGGCAATCTCTTGACCCATTATGAATTTAAAGCTAACTAATTAAAATTTAAATAAAACATTTTAAAAACATTATATAAATAATATTTTTTTCAGTTATGACGCAATGCCTAAATTTAAATGGTAAAGGTTACTAATTATTGTTTAAATACAGCACATTTTTAGAACACTTAAATTTAAAACTCTAGAACTTCAACGTTTAAAAACTAATGAACTGTCAAAACTCCTTCCATTTTAGAATACTTCATTTTAGAACATAACACGTTTTAGATATTCAAAACTTTAGAACATTTAAAAACTAACGAACTGTCAAAACTTATAAAACCATTGTAGAATACTTCATTTTAGAACACAGCACGTTTTTAGAACACTTTTAAATTCAAAACTCTAGAATTTCTACATTTAAAAACTAATAAACTGTCAAAACGAACTCCTTCCATTTTAGAATACTTCATTTTAGAACACAACACGTTTCTAGAACACTTTTAAATTAAAAACTTTAGAACTTCAACATTTAAAAACTAAAGAGCTGTGAAAACTATTGCATTTTAGATTACGTCCGAACACTTTTACATTGAACACTTTAAAGTATTTACTAATGTACTGTTTGGTTTAACAGATTTAGAATTAAATGAACGCGTTCAGCAAGCAGTATAGTTCTTCTTGGGAATAGAGCGATGGAAACGGACACACCGGTTTTGTTATTTCAGCGTCGGGGAGAGAAAATGAAACGAAAGACTTTCCTTCCCTGGGCCCCTTTTTAGCAATGTCACTGAATAGATCCTTTATTGCAATTGTTTTTTTCCAATTGAGCACCCTACTGGGCTGTTGCATCCTTTTACAACCCCTAACAACCCACACCCGTTACACAAACACATCCCGATATTTATAACGCGAAATTACTTTTCTATTTCCCCAATGCGCGCAAACAGAAACACGAATTGGGGTTCGGGCACTGGGGTCATGGCCGTCAGGAAAGTGACAGTGGATGTTATGTGTGTGCGGTTTGTGTGGATGGTCGTCTGGGGGGCAGGGTGCCCTCGGCTCTTTGTATTCGGGCAAGTATTGGTAGGTTTGGTGGGAGGTTGTGTTGCTAGTTGCAGAGGCCGAGTTTTGCTGGCTGAGTTTGGGTATAGAAGGTAAAAGAGGCGCATTGTTGAGCTCCAGCAGGCTTTGTTAGAATACTCTCACCCCCTCCAGTTCTCACTTTTCAGAGCACTGATGCGAAGTAGACAGCGTGTGTCACTGTACACTTTTGACGGGAAGATCTAAAGAGGAAGGTCGAACATTTTTTTACAGACCACCACGCAGATGTTTTCTATTTTATTTTGCGTTTAAATTAATTAGATGAAATTTAAAGCAATACAACTAAGGCTTATTTGGAACACTTTTAAATTGTAGAAGATGTTCATATATAGCGACAGGTGCAAAAAGCGGCGTACTGCCTATAATTAAAATGTTAAAGAAATGCATGACTGAATACAAGTCATTCGCACTAATATTATTCTTTTGCTCTATCCTAGGAATGATCTAAATAGTCAGACGCAAATGAAGGGCTAAATTGTTATAAACGGACAGTCAACTCTGTTACCAGGCAAGTTTTTTTAACGCTGAAATTCCATTAGAAAGGATTATTCGCAAATTCATCATTTGACCGCCTTATGCGAGGGGATACATTGGCCGTAAATTGTTCCAACGCCGCATTTGTTGGAAAACTGCATTGGAATAATAATAATAATAATAACAATAATAATAATAACTAATCCATTTATTTCTTTTTGTCATAAATAGAATACCATAACCAACCCACGTGGGAATCAGGAGTGGCGTCCATGATGCAAAACAGTAAGTGCAATTCTTATTAAGACAACTTGTGTGTATATGTGTGTGTTTTATTATTAATAACAAATGTCATTCAATTGGTGTTTGTTTTTATTTTATTAAGACTACTCATGGTCCGAGACTGGCATTTTTGCATTGCATTTTTAATCGGAAAATTAAATAATATACAAAAAATGTGTGAAAGTCCAAATTACTGTAAAAATTCAACTGCATAATGTATGCTTTTTTCTATAACGCATACAATTCTGTTGGTAATACTGAAATTTAAAAGCAAACCAACACGAATGCACATGCATTTTGCATATATGCCGTGCATAAATAACAGAAAGGCTGATTGGGGGAGGAGATGTTTATTTCTGCTTGAGTTACTAACAAATAAATGCAGCTCTGGCTGTATTAATGCAGAAAATAGTTGCCAACTTCCACAAAGGACTTGACAGTGCCGCAACAGCAAATGCACGAAACGGGATACATGAAATAGTTTGATGATTGCAGGACTTGATTTCAGGGTTTTCAGTGCTTGCTCGAGGGCAAGAAAACACGAGTTATGCTCGTCTGTAAACGGCAGAGCATCACTTGGTTCATGCATGTTGTTCGACATATGATAAATGCTTCTGGAATTATTTTTTTGGGATTATATAATGTAAATACATATTGTTTAGAAGTATAATGCTCAGCATAAACGAGTACACTCCTCACAGATTTCTCTTTTATATAAATATTTTCTAAAGGATGCTTTACAGTAATATAGTTGTGCATATAGATTAGATTAGCAAGTACCAAAGGAAAAACAGGGACTCGTCTAATGCAGCAAAAATTAGTACACCCAAATTAATATGTTAAAAATATTAAATACAGTTTTAATACACAGGGATAAAATCAAGAGAAACATAAAACTATATAATTTAGTTTAAATTTTTTTAGGTTTTAATATTTATTTACAGTTTAAACCCATAAAATGATTAGCTATATTGTCTAAGAAATGGATATTGGGGTGAACTTATTTATGCTGAGCACTGTATAAAAATTAATTAAAATGGAAAAACAAATGTCACAATTCAATTAAATTGAAATTGATGCACCAGTAAATGCTGTTGGAGATTTAGGATTGATGCTCAAAATTCACAACATATGTTTCCACATTAGTAGGGAAGCAATAAAATACAAGTCTCATTAGGCTGCCACCAGGCCAGATCTAACAGTCCTACACCATGGGGAATTATATGATTATTAAGACTTAACCTTTGAACGGTGAAATGACAGGCCAGGTCATGTTTCTCTGTGATGGTGACATCAATGAAATGGATTCATTTGATAAACATGAGTCTATTAAATCCAACTAATCCAGGACAGAGAGGATGACAGTGGATTATTCCACTGGATTTGGAGAGATTACCACACGTTTGTTGTTCGGTATCAGTGCTCAAAATCATTCAAATTAGTCCAGTGAAATGAGGGAAAACTGAATTCTGGATTACCATTCATCTTTAGGGGTGAGATCAGACAACAGGCAGTGGAAAATTAAAATGTGTATTGAGATATTTCAAATTTTGAGGCTCTTCATTTCTTAAAGCATCAGATGTTGGATTTGTAACAAACATTATGACAGACTTAAACAAAAAACAAAAAAGGCTTTGTCAGTTTTAATATGTTTGGAAACACGCACGCCCCTACCCTCGTGCCCGTAGCTAGAAATAAAACCTCCCTTAAAGGCAGCGAGAGCAGAATCCAATTTGGTCTGATATCCAAATGCAGACAGAAAGGGTCGTTTTATCATGCTACTATTTGTCGTGACGATGCGTTTTTCAAAAGCAGAGCAGTGTCATATAAAGTGACAGTCCTGCCACAAGTACTTCAGCTGATCTTTTCAATGAGCCTTCCATGCATGATCCGAGGCGACCTCCGCCTATTTCCAGAAATTAAGCTCAAACTTGACGTGCAGCGAGCTTTATTCTAAAGACAAATGTCAGAGAGTCTCATCATATTTTCCCCCCTCTTCTTCTTCTATATTTGGAGCTTATTTATTGCTTAGGAGCTCGGGCTCCTGCAGTCAGACGAGAGAGGAGAGCAGATACACACACACACGTATACACACACACTCCGGGGAGGATTTTTTCCTATAGGGATTCACTGTTGTTTCAATTGACTTTTCATTGGACTTCTACACGGCATCGAAATACATCGAACTGGTATGCGCTTTTCCTGCTATCCATTCATTGTGTTGCATTTTGATAGAAAGCTTTGCTTTGCTATAATTGGTTGTTTGATGCGTGCTTATTTATTAGGGATTTGTTATAGGCTGGTGTGAATGAGAGTTTCCAAACACTGGCGCATGATCTGTTCTCTCGAGGACAATTTGATTATGAGAATTTGAGTTCACTCCAATGGAGATGTTCAAACTCGGAGGTCATTTCATGAGCATGTCGATTGATTCCAGCATTCTGCTGCTGATTTATAGGGCACAACGAGCTGTGAAACAGCATTCACGACTCTTAATTTAACAAACGCAGAACTTGGCTTGGATTGCTGACCAGTGATTTAGAAAATAATTATAAGTTTCCTTTGTTGCTGTCGCAATTGTACAGTTACTGATTCCACTATGTTATATAACAAGGACATTGTGATGTAAAAGAAACAGTTTTTATGCTCTAATCTGACTTGGCTTGTCAGTAACGCTGATCAAAGGAAAGCACCAAGAAGTGGAGCTTTATTCTGGACAATGGGACACCTATTGAGGGAATGTTTTCGAGGGGAAAGACGAGCCAATTTGTTCTGTATCCGTGTGCCACAGGTCACAGTGGCGTCAACCAGCTTGGCGGGGTGTTTGTGAACGGCAGACCGTTACCGGACTCCACCAGACAGAAGATCGTCGAACTCGCACACAGCGGAGCGCGACCCTGCGACATCTCCAGGATTTTGCAGGTGACTTGTGAAGCCCATTCGCACATCCATGAGCTTTACAGCTTCTAGTTAAGATGGCCACACGCAATCACCATGTTGCAAAATTATAGCAAAGCCAAATTAATTACAATTATTTTAAGCACACTCTTCAAAATAAAGGGATTGGCATTGATAGTTCCCTGAAGAACATTTAACATCCACTGAAACGGATGGTATTTTAAAGCAGGGGTTTTTAAATGTTCTTCATATTAATATTATAATGGTTCTTAGAACTTTTGAGTGAATGTGCTTTATTTTCAAGAGTGTATTCAGAGATTAAAGGGGTAGTTCATCCAAAAAATCTAAATTACCATGTGACTTTCTTCCGTTGAACACAATAGAAGATATTTTGATAAATGCTGGTTGAAGGTTCCTATTGATGGTAGGAAAAAATACTATGAAAGTCAATGGGTACAATCAACTAGCATTCTTCAAAATATCTCTCTAACAGAAGAAACTCAAAATGAACAAGTAAAAACTTTTTGTGTGAACTATCCCTTTAAGCATGCGTTTCTCATTCAAAAAAGGTGGACACTAATGCAAAAAAAGTGTGACCCTAATTAGTCCTGAAACCATCCTAGCAATTTTAAGGCATATTTTCTGTGTTCGTAGACCCATGATGATGCAAAAGTCCAACTGGACAATAAGAACGTAAGCGTATAATCGTTTGACGTACATTACATTAGTTCACTCTAGTCTTAAATAATGTATGTGAATTGTGTATATTGCTGTCCATTCAGGTGTCGAATGGGTGCGTGAGCAAGATTCTGGGGAGGTATTATGAGACGGGCTCCATCCGACCGCGAGCCATCGGAGGCAGCAAGCCCAGAGTAGCGACGCCTGAAGTGGTGGGCAAAATCGCACAGTACAAGAGGGAGTGTCCATCTATATTTGCCTGGGAGATTCGGGACAGGCTGCTGTCGGAGGGTGTGTGCACCAACGATAACATACCGAGCGTGAGTGCAAATCAAACTTCATTTACATCATTTCATCAATACTTTGGTGGATAAATTTTTAATTTATCCACATTACAAGAAATTATACCTATGGAGCACTGTGTAAAGTGTTTAGTGCTTGACTTAACCTTTAATGTTGAATCAGATAAAGCTCAAGTAATTTTAAAGGGACAGTTCACCCCAAAATTTGAACTTTGCCATTGTTTACTCAACCAAACAAGGTTGAGTTTTGTTTGTTCTGTTGAAAACAAAAGAACATATTTTGAAAAACTTTGGAAACCACTGACTTCCATACTATTTGTTTTTCCTACTATAAAAGTCAATGGTAACCAGTTTCCAACATTCTTCAAAATATCTTCTTTTCTGTTCGACAATCAAAAATGGTTTGAGACAAGTAAGGTTAAGAAAATAATGTCAGAATGTTTATTTTGGGTGAACTATCCCTTAATATTTAGCTATTGGCTTAAATTTTAAAGTTGAATCAGATAAACCTTAAGTCATTTTTAAAGGGATAGTTCACCCCAAAAAATTATTTTGCCACTATTTACTCAACCAAACAAGTTAGAGTTTTGTTTGTTCTGTTGATCATAAAAGAAGATCTTTTGAAGAAGGTTGAAAACCTGTAACTACTAAATTCCATACTATTTGTCTTTTCCTACTATGAAAGTCAATGGTTACCAGTTTCCAACATTCTTCAAAATATCTTCTATTCTGTTCAACAAACAAAAATGGTTTAGGACAAGTCTAGGTTAAGAAAATGTCAGGATGTTTATTTTGGGGTGAACCATTCCTTTAATTTACATTACATATGGCTTAAAAAATAAGAATGGCACTTACTTTAATAAGTTAATATATGAAGAGTTTTGATAAATGCTAAATTGACAATTTTTAATGACTTTTTTTGTCATTTTCATGACTCATCAAACATTTTTAAAATGATTCAATCCACAAAAAAAGATGATTTATGAAAGTTAATATTCATATTTTAACTTAATGATCATTTAATTTGACAGTGATAGCACTTTAATGGTAATTCAATGCTATTTTTCATGGCTGAGATTAGCAGCGTTAAACTGACGCTCTTCTTTTTACCTTTCAGGTGTCGTCGATAAACCGAGTGCTACGCAACCTGGCTAGCGAAAAGCAACAGATGGGTGCAGATGGCATGTACGACAAGCTGAGAATGCTCAACGGGCAGAGCGGCACGTGGGGGACTCGTCCGGGATGGTACCCTGGTACGTCTGTGCCAGGACAACCAAATCAAGGTGAGACAGCCAGCCTATAAAAGCAATAAGAGCATCACTGTCATCAGCAGGATTAGGATAATAACAGCATCACCCAAACATCCAGAACACCTAAAAAGGCAACACAACAACTGCAGAAAAAAAAAACATTGAGAAAATAAATAAACACTTAGTACTAATAATATATAAAACATTTTTATAAGAGTAATGATATTAATAAATGTTGAATGATCCTTTAAGAATCATAGTAAATGGTCCAGGATTATAACTGATGAAGTGTTAATAATATTATTACTCTTAAACATCTGTTTAGGTCATTCTTAATAATTTATTAATGTATTTTATTGTTTATTTCAGCATTTACTATTATATTAAAATTATTGTTATTAGATTACAATTATTATTGTTTAGATTAAAAGCTAAAGTTTTATTAATTAAACATTATTATAAACAATTTCCCAGTACTGGATTGCAGCTGGAAGGGCATCCACTTTGTAAAACATATGCTGGATAAGTTGGTGGATTGTTCGGCTGTGGCAACACCTGATGAATAAATGGACTATAAAGGAAAATGAATGAATGAATGAATATTATAAACAAACATTCAAAACTAAATATCTGCATCAATAAAGACAGTAATAATTAAACAACTAATTTAATATGGAAAAATACTTTTGTTTTACAATGGAATAAATTAAGCAATGTAAAAAATTAGCATTTAAAACTTTTAATTACCTATATAATTATTAATAAATAATAATATACATCTATCACTATATAGTACAGTATAATAATAAGTATAGAAAATTAATTTATAATTAAACATAAGCACTACTGTATTTTATTATTAAAATTCATGATATTAATGGTAAACACGACTAATAGTAAGTAAAGATGACCAATAGATTTTTAATAAAGCATTCATTAATCTTTCTAATTTATATCTATAGTCAAAGCGAGTATTCATGTATAACAATATAACTGTTCTTTGTTAATACTGGCACACAGTATGTTAATGTTAATAAATACTTTTACTTTTGAATATACAGATGAAGTCAGAATTATTAGCCCCCCTTTGATTTGGTTTTTCTTTTTTAAATATTTCCCAAATGATGTTTAACTGAGCAAAGAAATTTTCACAGTATGTTCTGATATTATTTTTTCTTCTGGAGAAAGTCTTATTAGTTTTATTTTGGCTAGAATAAAAGCAGTTTGTAATTTTTTTAAACACCATTTTAAGGTCAAAATTATTAGCCCCTTTAAGCTCTTTTTTTCCTCAATAGTCTACTGAACAAACCATTGTTATACAATAACTTGCCTAATTACCATAACCTGCCTAGTTAACCTAATAATAATTCAGACCTTACTGTATATATACTAATAAATGCCTCAAAAATATTGTGGACTAATAATTATAATGCACACAATTTTAACTATTCAAAAATGTAATTATATTGCTTAATTAAAAAATGGGCTATAGGATACATAAAGAAAATTTCTTGCAGTCATTAAATATACATTCCAGTCCATCCAGAGACACATTAGATTAATATACACTTTTTTTCAGAATAGCGTGCCATTGACATAGTGTGATGAGAAAATGCTACTCATTAATGATGGGGAGGTGTTCGTGCTAATTAATTAATAATCGCTCATTTCAATACGGCTTCTGTGTGGCTCCTGGATCTGCGTGACTAGGAAGAGAGCTTTCGGTGGAGGTGTCCATGCGTCTCCACCTGCCCCCTCCATCTACATCATTTCAGCCCCATGCGGAGTGAGAGAAAAGCACTGCGCGTCCCGGGACAAAAGAAGTTTCTGTCACATGCAGGAATTTGTGACAGGCACAGCTCTGTCTCTCTGTAATTGCTCATTAGAGGATGTGGAGAGAGAACATGCACAGGCTTTTGCTTTGAGGAGACAATGGAAAAAAAAAAGTTGAGTTGATGAATAGTTTGTTTCTAATCAGGTTGACGAATCCTTCACTGAATCCCGCATCGCAGAATCATAAATGATAGTTGAAAACTTTAATATTAAATAAGAAAATAGATGTTTTATGCATTCCTTTTCATAACAGAATTTATTAAAAAATTATCTCACAAATCTCTTCTTTCACATAAAACATTAGAATGAGACTTTTTCCTTCAGAATTGCAGGTCTGTATCATGCAATTGAGTTTTGAAAAAAGAGAAGAATAGAGTCTTAACAAAAAGAAGAGGCAGAAATAAAGTCACAAAAACATCAGTCACAGTAAAACGGTTGCTTTTAAAGAGGATTATTGACTTTACTTATAAAGTGAGAAAACTCATAGTAAAAAAGATGAGTTAGTCCACTGCTTTAGAAAAAAAAGCAATTAGTTGATATAAAAAGACGATTAGTTGACTTTGAAACAATTAGTTGGCTTTGAAAGCGATTAGTTGACTTTGGAAACAATTGGTTGAGTTCGGAAAAATTACTTCATTTTAAAAGCAATTAGTTGCTCTTGCTTTAAAAAGGTGAGTTGGTGCTGTGCTTTAGAAAAAATGATTAGTTGACATTAAAAGCCATTAGTTGACTTTGAAAGAGATTAGTAGCCATTAGAGCAATTAGTTGACTTTGGTTTAAAAAGGTGAGTTAGTGCACTACTTAAAAAAAAATAAAGCGATTACTTGACATTGAAAGCGATTAGAGTTGCAATTAGAGCAATTAGCTGACTTTAAAAGTGATTGGTTGATCATAAAAGCAATTACTTGATTTTAAAAGTGATTAGTTGACTTTGCTTTAAAAAAGGTTAGTTAGTACGTTGCTTTTAAAAAAGTGATTAGTTGACATGAAAAGCAATTACTTGACATTGAAAGCGATTAGTTGACTTTGAACGCGATTAGTTGACTTTAAAGCAATTAGTTGACTTTAAAAGTGATTAGTTGACTATAAAAGCAATAACTTGATCTTAGAAGTGATTAGTTGACTTTGGTTTAAAAAAGGTGAGTTAGCCTGTTGCTATTAAAGGAATTAGTTAACTTTAAAAGTGATTAGTTGACTTTATTTAAAAAAACTGGATGAACCCACTGCAATAAGTAGACTTTGCTTAATAAAAGTGAGCAAAGCAGTTCCTTTTAAAGCGATTAGTTAACAATAAAAGCACTTCTTTTATTTTAAAAGCGATTAATTGACTTTGCTTTAAAAAGGTGAATTAGTGCATTGCTGTTAAAGGAATTAGTTGACTTTAAATGTGATTAGTTGACCTTACTTTTAAGAAGCAAGTAAGCCTGTTGCTTTAAAAGCTGATTGAAAAGTTAATTTTACTTAAAAAAATAAAATAAATAAATAAATAGGTGAACCCATTGCAATTAGTTGACTTTGCTTCAAAAAGATGAATAAGCCCATTGCTTTAAAAGCAATTAGTTGACTTTACTTTTAAAAAGGTAAGCCTGTTGCTTTTAAATTGGTCATTTGGATTCAAAGTGATTAGTTGACTACTTAAAAAATAAACTTGCTGCTTTTGAAGTGATTAGTTGACTTTACTTAATCAACCGTCGCCTTAAAATTAAGTAAATGATCTATGTTCATAATTATAAAAATTAATTAAAGTTTTAAAGTAAAGTAACTAATTGCTTTTTAAGGTGTGGTTTCCATGCATGTGTATAAACGTATAATGAACATTTTTCTTAAATTGATTAAAAAAATTCAACAGCATCTAGTTTTGCAGTGAAATGCGTCCTTTAAAACTTGCGTTTCCCCCCCATTTAGTTTAACTACTGCATTTAACCAGCGTCGATAATAAATAGCTTCTGATTAGACAGTCTTTTCCGAGCCATGCAAAAGCAAAGCAAAGGTCTTTCGCTGGTCATCTCCTGTTGAAGGTATAAATCCTAAGCGGCGTTTAACAGGTTTGTTTGATTAATGACAGTGGTGTGAGGAGGTTAACACACTGAACTCAAAGCGCTGTTGACTAGATGCTTGTGCGGGACAAAGCTGAGCTCTGCACGCCTCTTTCTGTTGTTTTCGGGAGAGTTTGAGGCAGTTTAATGGTTGCCCTCTTTCTTCTGGTGCTATTGTGTCATGGAGAAAAGCAGCTCTCTATTCAAGTGTTGGTGGTCACCTCAATGGGTCCCGGGACACCCATATGCTGAATAGTGCTAAGAATCCCCTATACATTATGTGTGTGGCGTGTATGAAAACATCCAAGGAGGCTGGAGGATGATTCAATGCGTTTCTTTTGGGACTTTGTTACACAACTGTGCAGATAAAGCTGACATTGCTTGTCCAAAAGTGTATTCACAGCAGGGTTGTTTTAGTTAACTTGGGCATTTTTGTTTAATTGAAGATAAATATATATTTGGTTACATACATTTTACAATGAGGTTGCACTAGTTAGTTTATCTATTTACTAACATCAACAAACAATCAACAATACTTTCATTACAGCATTTATTAATCTTCATTTATTATTAAAGTTCAAAGCGATGCTTGTTAGCATAGGTTAATGTGCTGTGAGTTAACAAGAACTAATAACAAATGACTGCATTTTTAAAAAAGATGAATAAATAGTGTACTAAATGTATTGTTTATTATGTGTTCATGATAGTAAATGCATTAACAATTATTAACTAATGGAGCTTTACTGTAAAGTGAGATGTAATAATAATAACACATAAAAAAAAACGGAAAAAATAAAGCAATCTAGTTGCCATTTATTTCTTTTTAACTTTTGTTTCAGATTTAAGTTAAACTAAAGTAACAATACCACATGCAACATGGTGTGAGAAGTCTGCCCGATCTTGCAACTATATATGTTATATTTTTGCAGACGGTTGCCAGCAACAGGACAACGGTGGTGAAAACACAAACTCCATCAGCTCAAACGGCGAGGACTCAGACGAGACTCAAATGCGTCTGCAGCTGAAAAGAAAACTGCAGAGAAACAGAACGTCCTTCACGCAGGAGCAGATCGAGGCACTTGAGAAAGGTGAACGATCACAACTTTATTTGTATGTATACATAAATATATATATAACTATATATATATATATATATATATATATATATATATATATATATATATATATATATATATATATATATATATATATATATAAACAGTTGAAGTCAGAATTATTAGCCCCCCTGTTCATTCGTTTAGTCTTTTTTAAATATTTGCCAAATGATGTTTAACAGAGCAAGGAAATTTTCACAGTATGTCTGATAATATTTTTTCTTCTGGAGAAAGTCTTATTTGTTTTATTTCGGCTAGAATAAAAGCAGTTTTGAATTTTTACAGAATCATTTTTAAGGTTCAAATTATTAGCCCCTTTAAGATATTTTTAAGATATATATTTGCTACGTTGTTTAAGTTTAAAATTTCTTTGGAATATAGCTAAATATACAGTTGAGATCAGATATTTAGCCCTTTAATGTGTAGTGTAGTGTTTCCATAATTATGGATGATATATTGGAGTGATCTGAATTCAGATTTAACGAAAGAATGCCTTATTTGCATATTTTAACACTCCATTTTAGAACACTTCTAATACAAAGGAAGCTTGCAATTCTTAATGTAATTAAAGAACTGGGGAAGTTTGATAAAAACTATTACATTTGTTTTTTTACCCTGTTCACCTGCAGTGTCTCACCTTTAAAAAAAAGTAACCCAGTTGCGCATCTCCTTTCAGAGTTTGAAAGAACACACTATCCAGACGTTTTCGCAAGAGAGAGACTTGCGGCAAAAATTGACCTCCCGGAAGCAAGAATACAGGTGAAAATGAGTTAATAGTTGAATTTTGCAAATATTGTTGTGTTTATATCTTTGGCTAACTTTATCTGTGTCTGCAGGTCTGGTTTTCAAACAGAAGAGCCAAGTGGAGGAGAGAGGAGAAACTGAGGAACCAGAGACGACAAGCCAGCAACTCCTCCAGTCACATTCCCATCAGCAGCAGCTTCAACACCAGCGTCTATCAGGCCATCCCACAACCCACCACACCTGGTAAACCACAACACAACACAACACATTAATTATTTCATTTTCCTTCGGCTTAGTCTCTATTTCAGAGGTGAACTACCAACTATTCCAGCATATTACAACACAACACAACACAACACAACAAAACAAAACACAACACAACATATTAATTAATTCATTTTCCTTCGGCTTAGTCTCTATTTCAGAGGTGAACTACCAACTATTCCAGCATATTACAACACAACACAACACAACACAACAAAACAAAACACAACACAACATATTAATTAATTCATTTTCCTTCGGCTTAGTCTCTATTTCAGAGGTAAACCACCAACTATTCCAGCATATTCCAACACAACACTACACAACACAACACAATACGTATAATTTCCTTCGGCTCAGTCTCTGTTTCAGAGGTTGCCACAGCGGAATGAGCCACCTGCTATTCCAGCATATATTTTATGCAGTGGAGGCCCTTCAAGCCATAACTCAATATTGGGAAACCCCCAACAAACAGAACACAACACAACACAGGACAGCATAACACAACACTGCTGGGGCACATATGAGGACTGCAGTAATGGATACACACAGTGGTTACAACCAGGGTTATTAAAGTCAACTAAATAAAAAAAACAAATTTAAAACAAACAAAAACACTTCAAACACTAAAAATGTTTGTTGTAACTTGAAATCAAATGAATTGTATTTATGTTTATATTCGCATTTTTATATTTTTAAAATATTGTTGTTTTAGTATTTTTGTTTTTTGCTTAAATGTTTTATTTTCTATTTAAATTTTTAAATTTTATTATTCTTTTACTATTATTTCATTTTATTTATTTAATTATAAATAAATAATAGGAAATAGTGTGAAAAATTCCCTGCTCTCTTAAACACCATTTTGGATATATTTGAAAACTAAAAAAAAAATAATAATAAAAAAAAAATAAAATAAAAAATAAAACAGGAAAGCTAATGATTTTGACAAATGTATATAGTTTGGTTGCATATAAAACAAGGTCACTGCAGTATGGTTTACAGTTTTTGTCCTTCATTTAACATTTAATTTAACTGCTGCTTGTCAACTCATTGTCACGGTAAAACAAGACCACTGTAGTATGCTTTACAGCTTTTGAGTAAAAGTAATTTTACGCCATTTTGTTTTTAGATTAAATTACCTTTTGAAAGATTCACTTCAACAAATTTAGTTCTTATTCCATGAGAATATGTTTAATTTTTGACATCACAATCCACTATCTAAAGCAAAATGTGGTGTTTGGTGTTTTCCAGTGTCCTTCACGACAGGCTCAATGCTGGGCCGACCAGACACAGCTCTGACCAACACATACACGGGTTTACCCCCAATGCCCAGCTTCACTATGGCCAACAACCTGCCTATGCAAGTGAGTCCAGTTTCCAACACTCATCTCCTCACTTTCCTTTAAAAACTCAATTAACATGCCTTGTGTGTGTGTATATGTGTGTGTGTGTCTGTGTGTGCGTGATGTTTCCTTAAAGAGACAGTTCACCCAAACAATTTACATTCAGTCTTCAATTACTCACTCACTGTCCACTTGCCGTTTTTTAGTTGCTTCTGTTAAACACGAAAGAAGATATTTTGTAGAATGTTTGTAAGCTGGTATGTTTACCATCCACCTATTATATTTTAAATGATCACATAAACATGCTTAATGCGGACAACAGAGTAGGATAACTTTTTTCCGAAAAAGAAAAAATGTGCATGAACTAAGATGGAAACACATTTACTGAATAAATTCCAGCATACACATAAAGTCATGTGATAACAAAAATGGTCAAAATGGGATGGCATTAATGAAGAGATCAGTGAACCGACCACATTGTAAAGTTGTTTTGGTCAATTGGTTTAAAATCCCTCAGCTAAAGTCTGTCCTCAAAGTGGTTTGGTATTATTATCTTCCCAAAGAGCGGCTAACGCCTTCAAAAACACAGCATGATTATTGTGTTTCATTTTCTGAGGGGGAAGTAGTTTAATATATTGGAAAAAAAGGCTCACAGTAGCTTCTACTACCACAGTAAATCTTTCTTTTTTATAATTGCCGCCAGTTTATAAGGAAGTGACGATTTTGTTGACTCTTTAAATTAAAACTGCTTTATTCGCAAACGTTTTATGCAATATTCCAATGCTATCTCTTGGCAATTCGTAACTTTTTTAATTAGCTGCTAATTTGTATGAATTTGTACGAGGTCATTCGTTCAATGTAGTACCACTTGCTCATCCTCCAATGATGCAGTTAGCTTTAGGCGTAGGGTTTGTTGACACGCCTTTTTAAAAAAAAAAAAATCATACATTTTTGTATGAATTAGCCACTAAGCTGACAAAATTTAAAATAATTACATTTCCTTAAGAGATCAGAATAAATATTCCAACACTATCTCATGGCAATTCATAACTTTTTGATCTAGCGACTCATTTGTACAATCTCATTTATAAAATTAGTACGACTTGCTCATCCCCCAATGACACGGTTGAGTTTGGTTGGGTTTGTTGCCACACCTTCTATTAAAAAATCATACATTTTTGTATGATTTAGCCACTAAACTAGTGAGCAATTCGTAAAATGTAAAAAAGTTTCATTTTAAACGTAAAATAGGTTCAAAACTTGACGGAAAATACAAAGCGTAAAATAGTTTCAAAACGTAAAATTGTTTCATTTCCTCGTGAGATCAGGTTGGATATTATAATGCTATCTCACACCATTCATAACTTTTTGATATAGCAGCTAATTTGTATGAATTTGTGCAATCTCATTCGTACAATTTAGTACAACTTGTTCATCCTGCAATGACGCAGTTGGGTTTGGTACCATGCCTACTTTTAAAAATCCTACAATTTCATAGGACTGAACTCATCCGAATTAACCACTAAGCTGACGAAACGTAAAATAGTTACATTTCCTCGTGAGATCCGCATGGATATTCCAACGCTATCTCATGGCAATTCATAACTTTTTGATTTAGCGGTTAATTTGTATAAATTTGTATGATCTCATTCGTACAGTTTAGAATGATTTGTTCAACCCCCTATGATGCAGTTGGGTTAAGCAGTGAGGTTTGGTACCATGCTCACTTTTAGACATCGTACATTTTCATACGACTTAACTCAAATTAATTTGTACAAATCAGACACTAAACTTACAAAAAGTAAAATAGTTATGTGTCCTCATGAGATCAGACTGGAAATTCCTACGCTATCACACGGCAATTCGTAACTTTTTGATTTAGCGGCTAAATTGTATGATCTCATTTGTACAGTTGAGTATGATTTGTTCATACCCAAATGGCGCAGTTGGGTTTAATGGTTGGGTTTGGTACCAAGCGCACTTTAAGACATAGTACATTTTCATACTACTGAACTTCTACGAATTAGCCACTAAACGTACAAAACGTAAAATAGCTATGTGTCCTCGTGAGGTCGGGCTAGATATTCTAATGCTATCTCACTGGAATTTGTAACTTTTTGATCTAGCAGCTAATTTATTTGAATTTTGTACAATCTTATTTGTACAATTTAGTATGACTTGCTCATCCTTCAATGACGCAGTTAGGTTTTGTGCATCCTACATTTTCATAGAACTGAACTTCTACTAATTAGCCACTAAACTGACAAAACGTAAAATAGTTATGTGTCCTTGTGACATTAGGCTGTATATTCCAATGCTATCTCACGGGAAATTGTAACTTTTTGATTTAGCAGCTAATTTGTATCAATGTGTACGATCTTATTCGTATAGTTTAGTACAATTTGCTCATCAGCCAATGACGGTTTGGTTTAGGGGTGGGATTTTGGTGCCACGCCTACTTTTAAAAATCATGAATGAATGAATGAATAAATGACGCATGAGCGACTAAACTGACAAAACGTACAATAGTTATGTCTCCTCATAAGATCAGGCTGGATATTTTAGTTTTGTGCATAAATTGAATCCGCATTTTTGAATGGAAACCTTGCTAGTAACTTCATAGTAGGAAAAACAATTATGGAAGTCAATTTCTATTATATTATATTTCTATTGTGTTGATTAGCAAAGATGAAACTCAAAGCACTCAAAGGCAAGTAAAGGATGAATACATTTTCGGGTGAACTCTCCCTTTAAATGTCTCCCATTCCATCATCAAACTCCAGCTCTTAAATCCTCTGTGGTTTAAATCTAGATATTTCCAAAGCGTTATTGCTTATATCAGTATATTCTTGTTTCTTATAGCCAAGCCAGACATCTTCCTATTCCTGCATGCTGCCCAGCAGTCCGTCAGTGAACGGGCGAAGCTTCGACACTTACACCCCCCCTCACATGCAGGCACACATGAACAGCCAAACTATGGCCACTTCTGGCACCGCTTCCACAGGTAGGCAGAACACGCTCACTGTGGGCTAAACAAACTCGCCTGGGGGACAAATACTGCATTTTTGGTAGCGTTCAAAAGTTTGGGGTCACTTTGGTTTTTGTTTAAAGCAACAGTAAAGACTTTTATGATGTTGGAAACTAATATTAATTTTTTTGAAATGTATGTTTGTTAAAATTTTATTAAATAGTTATAATGTTATAATGAATTATTAATAGATTATTTATAATAATAAACATAATATTGGTCTGGTGAATGGTACATTGATACAATCCATGTTAAACGTAAACTAGCTACTATACTATACCCAAAACAGTGGTACTGTTGAAATAGTTATTTTTTAAACTAAGAAATTATATTTTACAATATATAAAACAGTTCGAATATTGATATTGGTGTATAGTTAAATCCGATTAAAAAAAGTATGTTGTACGAGCTTTTCTTAGAAGACTGTCACAATATTTCAATTTCAGCATGTCAAAAGTACTTTATTAGTCAATATCAGTATCGGACAATGCTCTTTTAATTACAACTAACATCAGTCAGGCATGTCATGCTTTTAAAGAGTTTTACTTTAAAATGTATTTAAAAATTTTTTTTTTAGAAATTGTAAAAATATTTATTAATACCGATTTAGTCAACAGTTTATTAAAATCAAAAATGGCCAAAAAATGAATCCCTAAAAATACATTTTAAAATATGAAACCATTCATTATAATTGTAATAATATTTTAACCCTTTCACACGTACAATCACACAGGTGTGAGCAGCCTTGGCTGGTTCCTGAAGTGTACAATCACACCGGTGTGATTAGAACATTCAGAGCGCACGTCGTCAACTGCTCAAATTCAAATCTGAAGGTGTGCACTTGGGCACAGAAAGAGTTGCACAGCGCTAGTCATAAATCACAATTTATCCGTGCTTTCAAACAAAAAACATTATATATAAACATTATTATAAGTTTCAGACATTTAAATACACATAACTACGAGCAAAACATACCATGTAAGGTTTGTAAAGTACATGCGTATGTCGATGAAGACGGCAATAATAATTATTATTCAATAAAACCGGACGATGTGCCTTGATACACAGTGTTTATGTTACTAGAAATTTGCTCTATTCCTCTACCACACAAACAGTTGCTTACCTTCATGTATTTAGACAGAAAATTATAAATAATTTTAGTAAGTATTAATATTAAACTATGCATTTATTGTATTTTATTAGCGTCTACCCCTACCTCAACCCTAAACCCAACCCTCATGGTAATGTAAACATAATTTTTATTGTACAGTGTCACAAAATTCATGCTATGTTGACGCGAGTATTCTCAGCTGTATCCCATATAGCTAATAAAATACAATTAATGCATAATTTAATAAATAACACATATACTTCTTGTTAACTTCCGATCGCAGCTGTATCCCTTCTAGCAACAACGGCGGCGCCCATTACTCGTTATATAACAAACAATATGGTCATTATTAAGCTGTTGATAAGACAAAATATATGTTCTATCACATGTTTGAGAATCGGAGTATCAGAAATTTCACAATATAATTAGAACATTTGTCAATATTTATGGAAAATGGCAAAGAGAAACAAAATACAATATATACAAAAATCAATGGGCTGGTGAGTCACGTGATAAACTTAACGTGCCACCATGAGAACTTTAGAACACAATGGATTGTAAGTAACGATCACAAAAAAAAAAAAAAACTCACGCAGGAGGGTCTGCTGGAGTATTTAAAACTCATGCCTGAAAGGTTTAATATTGTTAGCCAAAATAGCAATTCAAAATTGAAACAGCTATCAACCAAAAAAAAAAAAAGTGTAAAAATTGAAACTACACTTTAATGAAATAAATTCCTTCGTGAGCACCTAAAAGACCAAACTTTTGAATGGTATTCTTTATGCATACATTTATACAAATGTTCATTTGCATCTGTATATGTAAAACCCGATCATTCTGAGTAATTTTATATGCATGACATTGTTTATTGTCACCCATTTTGTGTATTTATTTTTTTAACATCATCTATATTCATCATATTTGTTCAAGAGCACCAAAAATTCAATCATTCTTTAAGAACAACACAAAATTGTCATATTCAATCCAGATTCATGCTTAACCCCGAAGCGCAAGGCTTGTTTCTGACCTTTATGGTGTCTGTATTTCCAGGACTCATCTCTCCTGGAGTGTCTGTCCCTGTCCAAGTCCCCGGAACTGAGCCTGACATGTCTCAATACTGGTCAAGATTACAGTAAAGAAAAGAGCTACTTCGCCCTTTGACTTGAGCGCACAGAGACTGAGCGAGAAGCTGGACGCGTCTGCACAGTATTTCCGCACACAGACTCAAACAAACTGTCATGAGGATGAGGCGCGAGCTCTTTTCACACTCCCAGAACTTCTAAAAAAAAAAAGAAAAAATGGAGAGACTTTAATGGAACAAAAACAAGCGACCTCTGCGACATCCACATTTTTCCAACTCATTTTTTTTTGTACTTGTACATCAGCATTTATATGTAAAGAGAGCAGCCCATAAAATACACTGGTGTCCTCTAATATTGGCACCCTTGGTAAATATGAGCAGTCTATGATAAATAGTCTTTGTTGTTAAACCTTTTGTCCATTTTGTTCAAAATATGAACAAAAAATATCTCATTGTAAACCGTTTTATCACGTGCAAAATTATTGGCACCTCTCAACACTTATTTTTTTTTATTTTTTTTTTATTTTTATTTTTTTTTACTTCTATGCCCAATGATACTTACATATCACTGGGCAACTGTTTAATCAATAAACAAAAGCCACACTGAAAAAGACGTTCATTATAATGATTAAAACCAAAAAAACTGAGCTGTGATTTGTGGCAAATATTCACGAAATGGAAAGTGTCTATAAAAAAAGTCAAAAACACTAAAAAAAACAACAACAAACATTTTCACCGTCAAAGAAATAAGTAATATGTTTCAGTTAACTGGAAATGATTATGAATTAGCTTGGAAGTGGATGTTTGCCCATTGTCTCAAATGCACTCGGTTCACCAAAAAATCGTCAAGAATCAGTTTCTGGTCCTAAAGGCCTGTTCACACAATGGAAATTTTTACCGCACTTAATCGCCAATGTTTAACACCTCATGACTAAATAAAGGGCACCAATGTGATCATGCACACCAAAACAACAAACATCAGGCATAAAAGCGTCTTTTTTTGAAAGCTCACACATATGGCTAACATTCAACACCTTATGACTAAACAAACGGCATCAATGCGAGTGTGCACACCAATGCGTAAAACTCATAAAAGGCATAAAAACTTAAAAAATAATAATTTATTGGTTTGATGTGCCACGTTAAAACGGTTTACTATGCTGCTGAAATTACAGTAAAACACCACTTGGTGGTGCTCAAGCTCAAAACAGTCCAGGCGAGCACACATTGTGTACCAGAGTATTTTTGTTTTTCGTTAAGTGCCATCTACTGTCAGGGAGTGATTTTGCGCATGACTTGGTTTATTGCCAGTGAAAATTGCTAGGGTTTAATCGCCAGAAAACCTCTAAAACAATGTTTTTCGCTAACGGTTATCATGCTTCGTGATTAAATAAATGCCTCATGACTAAACAAACTGCTCTAATGTGAGCGTGCACACCAACGCATAAAGTTTAAGACATAAAAGCATAATTTAAAATAACAAATGTCTCTTTCTTATTTGTATTTTAGTTTGACGCGCTATATTTAAAACTGGTTGACCAATGAGATTTACTGAAGTTCCAGTAAAAAACACCTAAGGCACATAACAGACAGGACGAGCACACATTGTGTACCGGAGTATTTTTGCTTTTTCGTTTCGCCATCTACTGTCAGGGAGTGATATTGCACATTGACCTGGCTTATTGCCAGTAAAAAACTCTTGGGTATAATTGCTAGAAAACGTCTAAAACAATGATTTTCGATAACGTTTATCATGCTACGTGATTAAATAAATGCCTCGTGACTAAACAAACTGCTCCAATGTAAGCGTGCACACCAACGCACAAAATTTAAGACATTAAAGCATACTTTAAAATAATAAATGCCTCTGGTTCATTTTTTTAGTTTGATGTGCCATATTAAAAACATTGGTTGACCAATGCGATTTATTTAAGGTACAGTAAAACACCCAAGCACAAAACAGTCAAGGTGAGCACACATTGTGTTCCAGAGTATTTTAGTTTTTCGTTAAGCGCCATCTACTGTCAGGGAGTGATTTTGCATGTTTACTCTGCTCATGGCTAGTGCAAAATCGATTGCGAATGAATGCTGAAAAAATGTTTTGAAAAACGTTGACAATAAGTGAGAGAGAACGTGGACAAGAAAGTCTTCAAAAATACAATCTGACGCCACCTACGTCACCACAAATTCTACGGCTTTCACCCTCATCAAAAAGTAAACTCTAAGCAGAAATCGTTGCTAATATTCTGAGTAAACAATTCAAATCGTAAACATTAAAAACATCTTTTTTCACAGCTTTCTCTGCTCATATTTACCAAGGGTGCTAATATTAGTGGAGGACACTATATGTTGGTTCATTTAGCACAATATATTAGGACTGTTTTTTTTCCGGCTGATATCAGGATTATGGACTTCATTCAGACCCATATCAATCCAGCGGAAGAGAAACATACCACGAGGAAGCAACGACTAGATGTTTTCACTTGGCAACCCAAAACCGATTCAGTCGACGAAATACTCTTGTATCTAAAAAGGAACAACAGCCATTGTGTAAATTAACGAGTACTTTATGACAATGTATGAAGTTTTGGAGCTGAGAATATAAATTGGTGATGGATCGTTTATAATTGTGACGTCACAGGAATGAAAACGTTAAGTACGGTAGACTCCAAGTCATCCATTTTGCTTCTGTCCAATTGTAAGTATTTGTTTTCCCTCCTGGAATCATTGCGGAACGTAAATATATTCTCATTTTTATTGCCCCCCTGGAACAAAACGTTTTATATAAATTTTCATGCATCAGTTTTAAAGAAAAAAAAAAAAGGAAATACATTTCTTTAGGTCAGGTACAAGTTGTCTATTAGGTCTAGTTGTATTATAGTGTCCTTCGGTGAGACTAGAAATATATAATTCCAATAATTACGATTAAAAAAAAAAACAAATGCTTGATAGAGTTGAAAATAATCAAATAAAAAACAACATACGTGTTTGGCAGTTGTTTACAAGTACATATCAGACTTTAACCATTGTTGATTGTAAAAACAGACCAAAGCCTTTGTATTTCATCGGTTACACAACGATCTTAATCTTCTCTCTCTTTTTTATCGTTAGTCTTGTGTTGCGACATTTTGTAAAGGATATAAAAAGTGGTTTTACATTCTAGTACACTGGCTTCGACTATATTTCGGCTGCGGCTTAATCACGCAGTTCTTTATTTATGATCGACAACCGTTTGTGGTTTTAATAACATGTTGACATTTCTGGAATTCTGCGTTTTTTTTTTGTGTGTGTACCTGAAACATGAACACTTGTAATGTTTATTTTTGTGTGTGTGTCAGAGCAATGCTTTGGAAAATGAAAAGGTCTACCCTGTCTTGCAGATATTTCAATTTAACTTTATTTAAAAGCTTTCTAAATGTATTTTGTGAAACTATTAAAACATTTTGTACAGTATATTTGTTTGCTGATTTTTTTTCAAAGGATTCAATTGCAAAACTTGGATGAACTTCATGAGATTCATGTTAAAGTGAAACTACATTTGAACAAGTGATATTAATTGACAACTTACGCATGCTATAGAATTGGAAATACATTATGTTCTGTTAATTTGCCTAAAGTGTTTTTTTTTTGTTTATTTAAAAAAAATAATTAATCATTTCATCCATTGAATTTTTTTTGTTACTGCATTTTTTTTAGATTTAAGGTTTAAGTTTGAGGTTTTTTCTTTTTAATTAGATTTTTTTGTACTATTTAATAATAATATTAATAATAATAATAATAATAATTATTATTATTATTAATATTATTATTATTATCAGCATATCAACAACAGCAGGATTATATAGTTTTAGTGAGTTTTACTTTAGTCTTAATTTTTATAATCTTTATTCATTTTACTTTCGGCTCAGTCCCTTATTTATCAGGAGTCACCACAGCGGAATGAACCACCAACTATATCGGCATATGTTTTATACACTCTCATTCACACACATACACTACAGCCAATTTAGCTTATTCAATTCACCTATAGCGCATGTCTTTTTTACTGTGGGGGAAACCGAAGGAAACCCACTCGAACACGAGGAGAACATGCAAACTCCACATAGAACCGCCAGCTGGCCCAGCCATGACTGGAACCAGCAACCAGTTTATTTTAAAGTTGTAGCAATTTGATTGTTATATTCATTAGTATTTTTTAATAAGCCTTTTACTTTCTCTTAGGTTTAGTTATATAAATTTTATATTTAAGGGATACTTTTTTTTGCCAAGTAAGATAAACAACAATCACTTTTTCTAGAAAGTCCTGGCCAAGACGACAGTACAATAAAAACTTTTATTCAAGCTAAAAATATTAATTTACACTGCAATCCTTCTGTACCAATAATAACAACACTATAGAAAAGAAAGTCATAATATTAAAATAATTTCTGAAAGATCATGTGACACTAAGGACTGAATCAAAGATGCGAAAAATACAACTCAATTCAATTTATCTTTATTTCTATAGCACTTTTACAATGTAGATCAAGTCAAAGCAGCTTAACAAAGAAATTATAGTAAACTGAATCTGTGTCAGTTCAGTTCAGTGTGATTCAATTTTCACTGCTGAAAGTCCAAACACTGAAGAGCAAATCCACCAATGAGCAGCTCCACAAGTCCCAAACCAAGCAAGTCAGTAGCGACAGGAGAAACAAACTTCACCAATTAACGAAAGTGAAGGAAAAAACCTCGATAGAAACTAGGCTCAGTAGGGCACAACCATTTCTTCTCTGGCCAAACATTTTGTGTAGAGCTGCATTTAAATACAGCACTAAACAACAAAAATATTTAATTTTAAACTAAATAATAATAATAAAAAAAGAGTAATTGTAAACTATAAAAACATTTCACAATGTCACTGTATTTCTGATCAAATAGATGCAGGCCAGTTCAACAGAACAGGCTCATTTTAAACCAAGAATAAATCTGACTCTTTTATATGATAAATAATTGACAACCCCAGTGATGGGTTGTAGCTGAAAGGGCATCCACTGGGTAAAACATATGCGGGATAAGTTGGCGGTTCATTCCGCTGTGGCTACCCCAGACTAATAAAGGGACTAAGCCGAAAAGAAAATGAATGAAAGAATAATTAACCATATTAGTCATTTAAAAACCCATCAGCTCTTCAGAATCTCTCCACAAACCTCATAACAGGACAGATCTGCTAAACTAAAGCACGAGCCAAATCCACACAACCCAAACACACACACAAAGGCAAAGGCCTAGCCATTCAGCACAGCCAGCTCATGTTGTGCTGGAGTTACAGCCGTCTAAAAGAAGAAGAGAGAGAGTGAGAGAGGGAGATAGAGAGAGAGATAGAGACAGAGGGGTAGATATGCAGGCAGAGATGAAGCCATTGTGTGGCAGAATGAGTTATTTTGCTTGACTTGCTGCCTCAGCAGGAGCCCAACCAGACAGACATGCAAAAAAAAAAAAGTTTCCTATGGAAGGATTTCAGGGGATCTGGGACTGCCCTGAT